AATTTATAATGAACGACTCGAGACTTATAAGGACATCATGGGGTTCGATTCTAAAAGAAGAGTTTAGCCAACATACCTCGCCTTGAGCTTCCTTAAATTACTACAATGTTCTGAAAATCTTAACCACTTCGATCTATTTAGAAATATAGCCAAATTGAACACAAATTAGGAAGGAGTTCATGATTCCAGCTCATTTGAGCATTTTATCAAATACTATGTGGGCATTATGTTCTCTAGCTTCTCCTATGGTGGATTTCCCTCACCCCACAACCCAAGGTTTACCCATTTGGGCTCAACTACCTTCCCACACTCATGATTGTACATGCATGCATAGATTCACTCCCATACCCAAGAATTGCTTGCCTTATTACCTATTTTTAGTTAAATTTCGCAATAGAGAGCAAGGATGTAGAATCTTACCTCTAGGATGAAGACCTAGTGAGTTTTCTTGTGAATTCTTCAAGCCTCGAGCAAAAATTGATGAACAATTAGTTTAGAAACCTCTTCTTACTCTAGAGCATTTTCCCACTCTCAAAATATAAGATTTTTACCTTACAAACGATCTTCAGCGACTATATATCAAAATAGGGCCGGGTTAAAAAAATAGAAAAATGAAGCCCCGATGCAGATTTGCGGTCGCATATGCGACCACATAACGATTCTACAGTCCGCAAAATGGACCACATAATGGCCCTCCAGAACTGGACATTTCTGCTTCACTCTGCAACAGGTTTGCGGTCTGCAGACCAATTCTGCGGTCGCATAATTTGCCGCAGAACTCCCCTCTGAAATTTTTTATGCTGGATCTGGGAAGGATTGTGTGGCCCACGAAATGATTATGCGGCCGCATAATGGACCGCATAATGATCCTAAAATTAGCTCAAGCTTCTGCTTCACTCTGCAGCAGATCTGCGGTCCGCAGAATGGACCGTAGAAAATGCGCTGCTTTGCCAAAAATTTACTTCAACCCCCCACGCACTATTCAACCCAAAAAGCCTGTATCGCTAAAACCATCAACAACTAAATCTAACTTGGCACCATGAAAACCCCGGGTTTTTAGGTGAAATTTTTACGGACCTTACACAAATTCTCCTATAATAGATCTATTCAGAGAGACAAGATCCCCAAATCAAGATTTTCTTTAATATGAATAAAACCCCTCTTGATGGTTGTATAATGGTTTAACATTAATATAGAGATTCTTTGTAATGGCTACTCGTTGAATGTTGTCTTTTCCTCCCGATGTCTTCCTTTCACATCTTTGCTCTCGATTCTAATGCCTTCGGAACTTATTCAGCACCGGTGACATGTTCTAATCGATGCACCTTTCGTTTATCAATTTTACCCTATACAGATAGTCCCCCTACTTTTCGATGACAAAATTTTATGTTACCCCGAAGTAGATAAGACCCCTTTTCTTGGAGGGAAAGTTCCTAAACCGCTTCTGACACTTGAAAGGACGCATGTCTCCTTGCATTTAATGAGCCAAACACGTGTTATCTCGTGATTCGGCAAATATTTTTGCCAGTTTTCAAGGTAGTGATGACCATGAATACTTTCGCCTATAAACCTCTCCACTACTTATCGCTTTTTTCTTTCACTTTTACAAACTCTTCTTCTTCGAATCCCCTCAAAGCACTTCTGCAAACTCCTTTTTTCCAGTAATGTTTCCTTGCTAAGATTTCCTATAACCATGTTTTCTACTACCGTTGTTCTTGAAAACTCTGGCCTTGATATTGGCGCTGGTCCTTCTAAAATGAACAAAACTAAGTCAATGCCGAAGCCGAACCTCCTACCGTCAACACAATCATACCCTCTCAACTTATCTCCCAGTTGGACCTTCGAGTTCAAAAGGAAACTATCAATCCAAAAAATGACAGAAATTGGCCTGTACGCAGATATCCTTCTTCTATTTACCCATCAGCTCTTTCGTAATATTAAAAATGACTCTTATAAGACCTCGGGTCTGCATCAAAACCAGTTTTGAGTTTTTCCTAATTCCGATCGTGATTGTGACCCTTGGTTGACACCGGAGAGCTTTGTTTATCATCTTCTATTCTAATTTTTGATTCATAACGATTATGGACATCTGCCCATGTGGTTGCTTGAAATTACAACAGGCTTTCCTTCAATTTCCTGGAGGCATCAAAAATCAGGTTGAGACCTTTGGTGAACGCTTCAGCTTCCCACTCATCCAGTATCTCTGGTTACAATATCCTCTCCTTTTGAAATCGAATTATAAACTCCCGCAACAGTTCTAACTCTCCTTGAGCGATTCTGAATATGTATGCTTTCCTAGCTTAGACTTTCCTTGCCCCGACATGAGCTTTGATGAAAGAATCTACAAGCATTTCAAAATAGTCAATTGATTGCTCTTGTAAAAGAGAATACCATGTTAAAGCACCCTTCGCTAGGGGTTCGCCGAATTTCTTCAACAAGACAGATTCGATCTCATGTGGGGCCAAGTCATTTCCCTTTACAGCAGTAGTGTAAGTTGTGATATGCTCTTGTGGATCCTAAATCCCATCATACTTTGGAATATCGGGCATCTTGAATCTTTTCAGAATCAGTTCAAGGGCTGCACTTGGTTTGAACGACAACTGTGTATACTTCTTTTAATCCGGACTCTTCAACACCAATGGTGCTCCCGGGATCAGATCCATCCGAGCATAGAATAATTACCATTTTGGCCCATTCGTTCATTCATTTCCCTCATGAATCTTATGAAATAAGTTTTGAAAGGATAAATAATGTTGTTGTCGTTCCCGGATCCACTACCTACATCACCTGCCTCATTTTTATTAAAACTGAACTCCTTCCTTGAAGCGATGTTACCGGTTCTTTGCACTGTTTGATTTGCAGGAATACTGGGAGGAACTCAAATTCCTCCATTGGAGTTATTGGAAGCAACCGAAAGCATATACTTCAACTCCGTCATTACTCGATTTTGTCTTGAGAGATGATTTATAATTTTTTTTTTGCTCCCTCAAAATTTTAACCGTTTCAACAACACGTTTATCATCCATATCATCAGGAGTTGGACTTCCCACATGCCGATGATTTTGTTCTTCGCTAACCGAAGTTGTTTCATCTCCTTCGTTGCGAGTCTCACTAGTTGAATCATAATGCTGGAACACATCATTTCGCACGTTGTTTGTTCCAACATTGTAAGAATTGTTCACATCGTTAGATGCCATATCTGAATTTTCTTTTACTAAAGAAAAGTGTCAAACTGCGTTAGTAACAGATGAATAGATCAAAGTAATAACACAATTTTCTATGCCCCACGGTGGGCGCCAAAATATTTACTCGTAAAATGGTATAGTTGAATTTGACGTGGTTTATAGACACGTAAATTAATTTAATCCAAAATATAAAATAGCTAAGAACAAAAATAAATTGGTTAAAATAACTTAAAGAAAATTGAAGCCTGATTATGGGCTCAGCTTCTCCGGTAGCAAGAATAAGAGCAATGTCAAGGACAAAAAAAAAGAGAAAGCGGTTTAATAGAATAAGAGCAGATTTTTGCATTTTTGTGTACATATGATTTTCCTATCCTATAATGAATACAAATCTTCCTATTTATAGCTCTATTCAGGGACAAGATCTCCAAATCAAGCTTTTCTTTAATATGAATAAAACCCCTCTTGATGGTTGTATAACGGTTGAACACTAACACACAGATTCCTTGTATCGGCTACTCATTGAATGATGTCTTTTCCACCCGTTGTCTTCCTTTTAGATCTTCCCCCTCGGTTCAATATCCTTGGGAACTTATTCAGCACCAGTCACATGTTCATAATCGGTGCCAACTATTTGTTGACTCATATCTTACTTGTCTTTACTTTCACATGTCAACTCATCGACCATCAACCTGTTGTTTATCCATTTTATCCAATACAATACCCGTTTTTTTAACTTCTTGTACAACTATATATATTCTAAGTCGAAATTAATGGTTGCTCGAACACCCAAAATTTACATGTAGATTCGCCCCTGCTTTAAATATACAATACAAAAGCTATACTAGACACACACACAAAAAATGAAAATAGCAAAATTTACACCGAACTTTAAAACATATCTAAAATACTAGAAAGTACAAAATTTGTACCTCTAAATGTGAGTTCAACGCTAATTGTTCTTTTTTTTTTTGTTTTCCCACAGTTTTCATCAAATCTAACAGAAAATTATTAAATAATGTGTCAAATTTTGGCAAATTGAAGAGACGAAAGCTACTCAATACATACATACTTAGGGGACTACTTTAAACCTACTCTCAAACTTAAGGCACTGTTTTTGCCTTTGTTATGTTTAATGTGTGCGATCACATTGGATCAGGTAGAAACACTACAAAAAAACGCTAAATTTGCGGCGGTTTTATTGCGGCGGTTTCTTTAACCTCCGCAATCTATAACAGATTGTGGGGGTTTAATTACCCCGCAAATATATTAAATTTGCGGCGGTCGTTAACCTCCGCAATCTTTAAAAAAAATAGCGCCCAACATTTCCCTTGTTTTTAATCGTTTCCCTCTCTTTTTTCCCCAAACCCCTTTCTCATTTTCGCTTTTTTCATTTTCAGACTTAATCACTTAATCAAAAATAGCAATATTTCTTCAGACTTAGAGCCCGTTTGGCTTAGCTGATTTAGAGTAGCTGAAAAGCACTAGGTGCTGAAAAGCACTTTTAAGTGCTGAAGCTGATTTAAAAAATAAGCAGTTACGTGTTTGGATAAAAGTGCTGAAATTAATAATAAGCAGCTGAAAACTGGGTATACGAAGAGTTTTGTTCTAAAAAAAAGTATTTTAGGGATATAATAGTAAATATTTTGGTCAAACCTAAAGTGCTTATAAGCTGAAATTTGATAAGTTGGGGGAGACCAACTTATGGCTTTTGGCTTATTTTTGGCTTATAAGCACTTAACTTATAAGCACTTCTAATTTTACCAAACGCGTAGATAAGCCAAAAAGTGCTTATAAGCCAATTTATAAGCTTAGCCAAACACCCTCTTAATCCTCCGATTTCAAGCGCCTCCTCTGTTGCCTCATCTTTCTTCTGCTTTTCTCATCTTTCTTCAGCGCCTCCTCTATTGCAAAATGAAAGAGATATGAAAGAAAACTTCAGATCTATCAATCAATTGGATGTAAGTTTATTTGATTTTGCTCTTTCATACAAATTCCTCTTCGATTTTGCTTTGATTTTGATTTTTTGTCTTTCTTTCTTCATGCATGTGGGTTTTAAGTTTATTTTCTCTGTTAGTTTGGTAGAATCGGTGTATTTTGAAGGAATTTGGTAGAATCGGTGTATTTTGAATCGGCAGAAATTTGGTAGAATCAGTGTATTTTGAATAAAGGACATAACACTCTCTGTTGAAATCGAGATGCAAGTCCTCTTTCTCCTTTCACATTAGGTTCTAAAATTTAGGTTTTTTGTGTATTTTGTAGGTTAATTTCTGTGATTGATGTCTTAATTGAAATATTTTCTTTTGCATGTGTATTTTAGACCTTCAGAGAAGACACAATTGTCGCCGGCTGCTGTCCCTCTTTCTGCTCTACTTTGTGTTTGAATCAGTCTCAAGGTAGGTTTTTTGTTTTTCTGCAGGTTTTGGACATTTCAGTTCAGGATAAGTTTGTGAATGGTCATTTAATTGTTCGGTCGTGGTCTTGTATAATCCTCTCATTCTGGAGTGTATGACCGATGCTCCATCACTCTCCTGCTATAATTTCTAGTGATATGACTACTTTTTGCTTCTTTTCATCCAGACTATATTGGTGGACTTATCTTTGCTCTCTGTTGCTGAAGTAGAGTAGCTGAATAGTTACCATTTACAAGTTTGGAAGAAGGTAAGCATCCCAACCATTTCTTTTGTTCTTCTTTCTGTTACCATGATGTTTAGTTCTGTGTAGAATGAACAAGAACTTTACTTGACTACCAACTGGGAATTATAATCCACACGAAGAGAATATGTTGCATTGTAGCAGGTTAACTGTGCTGCTGGCATATGATTCCTCATATGCTGTTATTGTGCTGTCTTTTGACCTAGATTGAGGTAGTAAAATTCATGAGGTTTATTATCAAAGTTAAAAAACTGCTCTTTTGGCGTTGTGGTTGATTTGGTCGAGCGAATGATAATGCGTATATATGTTCTGTTTCCTTTGTCCAGAAAATGCCAGGTGGAAAATGTCGTGTGGAATAGTTGTCTTCTGTACTAGGAGCCGATTGAATTATCTATGGAACTCACCATTAATCATCACATGTTTTCTTCAGAAAAATGGAAAAGCTTCTAGTCTTAGTTTTTTAAGGGCCTTTAAATTTGTTGAATGTTCTTTTCTCACATTGTCCTGAGTTTTATCTCATTATGAATTATACTATAGTTTGGTAAGTACTAAGTTTGGAGTATCACAAACAATCCTAACAAGTACATCTCGCGTATTATCCATTTTTAGCCCAATAACACTCACTGATTTGCTTCTTCGACTATGCTATCATCGAGCCTAAAGTGTGTATACCTGTTTTAGTAAAATAATTACTATAAACTTGAACTCATAGCTTAGTTTTAACAGGAATTACAATTTATTTTGTTGTTATTCTTGTTATTACAAGCATATAGGATGGTTGCTTTTAAAAAAATGAAAAAAAACTGTGAAAACTGCTCATGTTATTAGCTAAAGAAGACTATAACATTTGAACAGGCTGAAAATATTAATTATTTCAAAAGTCACAGAGGTAAGATTAGTGTATAAATATTCTTAAAAGATCAAAACATTACTGTGAAAATCAAAAGAAGTACACACGTTTAGTTCAAGTAGCTTTTTATGTTCTCTAACAAGACAGTTGCCAACTTGTTAGGATAAGCCAAGAGTTAAGTTTTTATAGCTTATGTGGAAATGTCCTTTCTTTCTTTTTCTCTTATATTTTCTTTGGAGTTCATTTTCTATAGGGTTTTGTCATTTATGAGTGATTTATAAGCCAGAAAACTGTTAGAGCACATCCAAGCACACTTTCTGTTAGCAATGAGTTCTCTGGAGGCAGTTTCGCGCATAGCCTAGCATAGTTCTAGTATAACTATGAGTCTTAGCCAATGCTTTTCTTTTATTGCTTGCAGGTATGCCGAAGCCCAAGCGTTGCGAGAACTTCCAGAACACCTTTCAGTCAGCACCTACATTTCTCCAATGAGGCGGCAAAAGAGATGTGTAAGACTCTCATTTCTCCAACTAACACAGCCCCTATCTGTATGTGTATGTGTATGTCTCTCTCTTTCAATTTCCTTTCTTCCTCTCCATTATTATACTACTATGAATTTTGAAACCAGGAAACCTTTAAGTTAATTTTACCCATTATAAGAGAAATGTCACATGAATTATTTTTTCCTACATTTTGAAAGCAAAAATTACAAAGAGAAAATAATAGAACTCTATTTTTTTTCCAAAAAGTGGGAGATGGAAAATAAAACAGCAGAATAAATTACACAGGTGAATCAGCTCAGCTAAGAGGATGAAAGATTTTTGGTAAGAGCTAAAGCATTACAAGTTAACTGGGCAACATTAATAATGTAATTTCTAATAGTGGCCTTAACTTTCTCATTCATGTTACCATTTCTTTCAAACCCATCCATACAAGAGAAGAGGTAAAATTTCACACATTTGCATTTCTTGGTTTTTGGCATATTATCTGAAAATTAATTAATATTAACATCTATACCTGAACTTGATGAACCTTCGTCCTCTTAGTTTACAAGAAATCTGTTTACCATTTAGAACTGAGTCTAATTACCTTAATAAAAATATGATTTAATTTCATCTTGTTTAGTCAATGTTGGTGATATAGATTAGGCTGAATCCTATAACCCTTTGCATTTAGAAGCCTTTGCTGAACATTTTCTAAGCTAAAGTTTAATATCTCTTTAGAGGTCAGTTAAAGACTATATAAATTTTCATTCAAACAAACTTTCTTATCTATGAAAACTAAAAACGGTATATGCTTCATAATACATGACAAAATTTAAGTGCTATAGTGGCTTAATATCAAACTCTCAAGGTTCTATATTTTCTTTTGTATTATGATAGTTACTGACTATATTGTACTTATATTGTTCCAGTAATTTGACAGTAGGTAAATAACAACACAATTAAATATTTAAGTTTTAGCTTCTACTTTAACATTAATATTGCAGAAGATCGTTTAAATTAAAAGTCAATGATATAATCCAAACATCGTAGACTTAAAAATTTGAATAGTTATACAGGTCAGTGATGCAAATTCTATTCTTCAGTTATTGATAACTTTTCCCCTTTTGTGACTTTTGGTACCTGGGGTTTCAGATAATTCTTTTTGTGATTTGGGTATTTTTCCTTTTTTTGCCATTTGGTTGTGTGTTTCAGAAAGTGTTAGAAATTTGCAGCTGAGTCTAATAATTTGTACAGCTTTTGCTTTTCATTTTCTCAATGACATCATATCCTTTTTCTGCATTGGATGTCTAGTTTTTGAGTTTAACATGTTGTTAGCAGTATTTGCATTCGAAGTTTCTGAAATTATATTGATGATGGGTGTAGCTGATGTTTGTTTAAAGTAACAAGTTTGTCTGGGCTAAACTTATTAATGTTGAACTGCAACAAGCTCACATTGTTAAGAATTTTATTCTTTATACTGTATTGTCAATAACTCATTGAAGTAAGGACACTTGCTTTTGGTGTTTAATGTATTTAGGAAAAAATTGAACTAGCATTGACCCAAAGCACCGTGGATGAGTCTGAAATTTCGCCAAATGATGTTGTTGGTACTTGGTAAGGTGTTGGGAAAAGAGCACTCTGGAAGGGTAAGGGGCTTAGGATTAGGAGTTGTTCCTAGCAGAGCTTTTAGGCAAACAAGACCTCGCTATAGTGATTTGAATGCTTCAAGTTATAATAATGGTTCATGTTCTTCCCAATGCCAAGAGAAGTACAATCAAATGTTGAATGCTCACAATCAAAGCCAGGAGAACTACAGAGAAATGATGAATGTTAACACTCAAATGATGAATGCTAACACTCAAATGATGAATGCTTTTAAGGCGTATATGATAATGAAAGAAGGGAAGATACCTGAAGAATTTGCAGGGATATTTGTTTCCTCCTCGTTAACGGTAAGAATAGTTGATAACTTTCTTATTTAATTTTGTAAAGTATGATTGTTCAGTCCAAGTATAATTAGTTATAGGATATTGTTGAGGTACTTTTTGTTAATTATATTTTCTTTTGATTATTTTGTAGCCAAGTGATGCGGCTAGCAGATCCATTTTACCCACGGATATAAGAAGATCATCCGGTGGAAGTAATCCTAACGACAACCATTTAAGTTGCTTGCAAATGTATTAGATAATTAAGTAGTCGATTGAATGATCATAGTAGATCTTTTGTCCATAATGGTTGGAGTGGATGTTATGTTTAATGTTAGTTTTAAGACTTATAATATTGATGTTTTGTGTTTAATGGTTGGAGGTGTTGTGTTTAAAGCAAATTTTTGAGACTAATGTATTTTGTGGTTTATTAAGATATTGATGTTACTTGATTCCACTAAGCAATTTATATAATTTGTTGATGCTTCATTATATTAATATAATTGAAATCGGAACAGTTATGGAGTAACATTATATTGCAGAAAAAAAAATTCAATGAACAGCGGAGGTTATAATTGCCGCTATTTAACATATGATAATATTTTGTTATAAAATTTCTGGGGGTTAAATAAAGAAATTGCGGGGGTTTCAGACCTCCGCTATTTGTTTTAATAAGCGACAGCCAACTACCAAATTGCGGAGGTTATACCGCCGTCAAATATACGCCGCTATATGATAACGGCGGTCTGTCAGAAAACCCCCGCAAATTGGTTGCGGCGAACATTATTGCGGGGGTTTTGGAAATCGCCGTAAAAATGTATTATGGAGGTTTATGCCCGCCGCAAAATGTAGATAAAACCTCCGCAAATGCAGCATTTTTTTTGTAGTGAGTGTATGATGACTTTGAAAGAGTTTGGTAAACAATAGAAAGAAGGTTTTAGCAGTTAGAAGGAACTTTGTGAAAGTCAGAACATAGTTAGAGTAGAAATAGTTTGAGAAAACATGAAGAACGTCTTTTAAAAATCAGAGAGCAAGTCATAAAACACATAGACTTCATCCAAGGGAAAGGGTAGGGGGAACACCTAGAACATATTAATGTAACAGCAAGAGCATAGAAGTTTAGGAGTCAATCACATAGCTATAGTACAGATATAGAACAAACAGTTGAGAACATAGTTATACCAGGCAGAGTTGAACATCGAGTCAGAAGTACTTAGGAGGTAGTAAATAACCAGTTTAGTAAATTACTATCAGGAACTGGGTAAACAAACAGACAGACAATCAAACATACACACATGGAGTAGAGTCAGATTGAGACATGCTAGAGAAAGCAATAGACAAGTCATCAGACATGTTAATCATAAGTTGAATGGGTAGAACTCATATATGCGAAGTGAAACCAGGATTTAAGCATGGTAGTTACATATCGAAAAGCCAAGTGATAGACAGGAATAAGACTGGAAATCAGTAAACTAATGCAGTAAGAGAACACATAGAGTTTTGAACTTGTAATTAAATCAGGAAATACCAGTTAAGGAGAGCAGACACAAAGTTAGAACAGTGTAGTGCAATAACTAGCCTTGGCTTATAGCCGGCTTGTTCAATGGAAGTAGCAAGTAACAGAAAAGAGCAGAAAGCTTTAAGTATAAGGGAGAGTTTTTGAACTAGTTTTCGTTATGTGTTTTTGAACTTAAAGTAAATCGGGGTTTATATAGTAATCAAAAACTTAACGTATAAGGTAAGAGATCAATCAAGTAGCAAATCAGGGAAGTCACATATAAATCAGCAAGTTCTTCCCTTAATCAAGAGACAATTAAATCAACGGTAAAATCATGCTAGATATTTAAGGAAAAGAATCAAGTAAGGTTTAGGTATAGAATGGGTAATTAGGGGTAAATGAATATAAGTTTATTTAAGGAAATAAATCAGTAAGAATCAGCAAGATACACACAAGGCAAGGAAAAAATAATTAAGGCAAGCAATTCAGTCAGATCGAATAGAGAGGTAAGAATCGAAAGTTTAGGAAAGTGTTCAAATTAAACCAGGAATTAAGGGATTCAGAGTAATCAAGGGTTTAGAAAGTCATGAAAGAGTCAACATGCTTAGCATATAAATAAGGTAGAACATGAATAGTCAGGATTTCACATAGCTTTAACAAAACACATAGTTAAACGACACGGATTCAAGGAGAAGTATACCAGTCTTAACATGAATAGTCAAGACGAACACGAGCACATAGAATCAGTGAAAGGTATAACTAAGAAATTCAGTAGAAGCATATTAGGGCAACAAAGTCACGAGAAATCACAAGAACCCCAAGGCAAGAACACAATCAAATGCACTGATACTCAGAAACCAAATGAAGAACCCCAAAAATCAGGGCTTTTGGTACAAGCGAGTTAAGGTTGTAGCAGACTCATAAAATCAGTCAAAATATATGAGGAGCAGAAGATTAAACATAGAAAATCAGTAAACGATTTTTAAAAAGAGATTCTGAAAACCCTAGTTTTAGGAAAAGATGAAAATCATACAAGTCTTGTAAAGAATCTTAAGGCTATTGTAAAACTCACATGAAACAAACCCAAATCATCTTAGATTCGTACAGATTTAAGAGTTTTTAGAAAAAGAAATTAGGGTTTCGAAGAGAACGGCACAGAGATGAGGAAACATACTGAAAAACGCATAGATCGTAGTCAATATAGGACAATCTCACTCGAAATCACACTGGAATGGCCTGAAACAGGCGAGAGAGGAACCATAGGTGCAAGTCGACTAGCCCTGGTCCCTTGAGGGCCTTGGAGGTGGCAAGGATGACATGAGAGAGGCTATTGGAGGCCTGGGGGGTGATGAGAGGTCACCGGAGATAGCCATATCAAGGTCAGTGAGATTGGACTAGGGCTAGGCTGAGAGAGTTTGAGAGCAGAGGGGTTTTCAGGGCGGCGGGTATATAGAAAATAATAGGGTTTGGGGGTCTTTTAGGTTTATTTTAGGAAGGGTTGATGGTGGCCGTTGATCTTTATGATCAACGGCCGGGATTAAAAGGTGTGGGGGACCGGATCGGGTATTTGGGGTGTGGCCGGGTAATTTAATTGAGTACTGGGCTGGTAATTGGGTTAGGTTGGGGTTGGATTGGGGCTAATATTGAAATAAAATTAGGCCATATTTTAAATAGCCATTTTAATACTATATAATTTATAAGAAATAATAAATGATTTCTGAAAAAATAGTTTCGTATATTAAAAATAATTTAAAATAATTATTTAACATTTAAAAAATATAAAAGACCATTTTGTGCATCAACAATGTAATTATGCATTAGTAGGGCTATTATTGCAAAGATGTGCAATTTAGCCTAAAAAATATAAATATAATTAAAAAATGCACTGAAAATGTTTAAACACTATGTTGGCATCAATAAAGAATTTAGATGACTAAATCACCACAAAAATAATTTGAAGGATAATTATTGGATATTTTATAAATAAAAGAGAAGAAATAAATTGGTTTTTGGAGCTCTTAAAACTATAGAAAAGTTATTATAAAAAACTTATGCATGCTTATAAATGCATATGTACTATGTGTTAAAAGTATATGGGGAAAAATTGGGTATCAACACCATGTATGTGCACACAACATGATAGAAAAGAGAGACAGAGAACACAAGCATTTAGATAACAAAGGAGGATAGATTTTATATATAAAACATATGCCTTTGCTTAAAAAGCAAAGGCAGATTTGGACTGTTAAAAACGGGAGCAGTACTGATACATCCCAACCACAACATAGAAAAAGAAACAAAAACATCTGCCAAGTCATAAAAACTAAAAGAGACAATCCAGAAACTAGTCACTGAAGGGGTTACTTAGGGGGCACTAGGAGTAGAGGGATTGGAAGCTGCAGCAAGAGTTTGGAGAACTAGGTCTATTCGGGCATTGGCCGACTTTTGATCATTGAGCAGTTCTGCTTTCAGGTTCTCCACTTGTGCCCACAGATCAGCATTTTCTTTTGTCAAACGAGCCACTTCCTCATTTGACTCCGAAGCCCCTTGGGCCTGCTGACCTTCCAGGATAGCATTCCTAGCCTTCAACCTTCGAATCTCCTCAGTTGCACTATTTTGAGCATTAATGAACTGTGAGATTTTTGATGTACTGCCTAACCCCCCATTCTTCTCCATGCACTCACATTCTTCCAATGTTGTTTGTGAGAAGGTCTGCTTCTTGGTTCCTACCTTGCCTTGCCCCAGTGGCACCTTGAAAAACTTAAACACTTGCGTAAGCAGAAACCCATATGGAAGACCAAGATTGCCATCCTTGAATGTTGCTACTTTTTGCATATATTCGATCATGATAGCAGGCAGGTTGACAGGGTGAAAGCCATCCAGTTGCTCCATTAAAAATAGGTCAGACTTCGAAGTCACAGACCTCCTCTCAGCACGAGGTAGTAAAACCTTGTTTACCAACTCGAAGAGCAATTGATAAACATGGAGTAATGCCTTCTTGTGAATCTGGTCCCCCTTTTGGTTCGCATTATCCTTTATCACAGCATTTCGGAAGTTAGACCCACACACATCTTTCACACTAGACACACCAACTGTAGGGACTTTAAGAATATCCCCAAGCAAACACACATCAAACACAATGTCTACCTCATTCACCAATGCACAGATGTGGTCGGTATCAACAGGAAAGAGGCTTGCATAAAAGCTTTGAACCTCATCCTCATACACTTTGGGTGCATCTATTTGGAACAGATGACCCCACTGTTGAAACTCAACCATCGCCAGGATTTGTCTCATACCAACCATATCCAAAATTGCTGGGTCAAAAGTACGACCCAACAAAACTTTTTGGTGCCTTAATCATTCTAAAACAGAGCTGGATTCACTCCTCATCTTTTTCACAGAACTAGATTCCTTAACGGTTTTGGACTTTCTCTTTCCAGATTTTGCACCACTTGATTTTGCTTTTCCCTTAGACTTGACTAACACATCCTCATCAGAAACTAAGGCC